GGAAGTTCCTCTCTAAAATGCTGCCACAACCGAACAATACTGTCAGGCGGCGAATCATCCCAATCGCATTAAAATAACCAAAGTTGTTTAATCAAAAAGCTTAGCGTATAAAACCACCGGAGCTACGAAACCCATGACATCTCATAATCTAGCAACGCATGACAGTATTGTGCGCTTTGTACATTTCTCTACGGGCGGATTTACCTTAAGGCTAAACACGTCGGACTCTGGTGACCAACACAGACCGAGCACCTTGTGTGTATCAGAATCGTCGAATTCCTTTATCGCCGAAAGACGGTATGATAGTGGGATTTTATCTAAAACCGGACGCGAATTACTAGTCCAATTCACAAGATCGAATTTACCCGATTTCATGAGCTTTATAACCTCGGCGGTGGTTAGGGTAGCCTCCTCCACGCTATCGACCGAGTATACAAAATCATCCATATATAAACCGCTCTCAATTGCCCTCTTAGCTTTAGGATAAGAGGGACCTTCATCGTGGGCGAGCTGTTTCACCGTGCGTAACGCATGAAATGGGCTCGACTTTAAACCAAAACAAACGCGGTTAAATTCAAATACCATTAGAGATTCCTTTGGGTTGAAACGATATAAAATGCGTTGGAATCTACGGTCGCATTCACGGACCCCTATGCAAAGAAACATTTGGCGAATATCGGCGGATAGTGCTATACTAAACAAACGAAAATTGGCTATTATATTAAATAAACTGCCCTGTAAATTTTGCCCACTATAGAGGATATCGTAAAGCGACAGGTGAGTGCTAGTTTTAGCACTAGCGTCGAGCACTACACGTAACTTAGATGTAAGTTTGTCCTCCCTAATGACCCCGTGGTGTGGTATGAAATATGACGGTGTGTCTTCGTAATTATCTAATTTCGAAGCCACGAGTGATATGTAACCTTCTCTTATATATTCGTTAATGACGCCGTCATAAGCTCCTTTTAACTGGGGTGAAACGAGCATCCTACGCTCCAAGCTGTAGAAACGTTTTTCCGCCATTTGACGCGAATCGCCGAGAGATAAAACATCTCCTTTAAAGGGTAGCGCTACAGTATATCTACCGTCGCGATCACGAACGGTCGTGCGGACGTAAATTTCCTCGCATAATCTGTCATCTGAGCTAGCTATGGGTGGGACGTTCACCTCCTTCATCTCCCAAAATTTGCGGACTAACGACTCGAGCGGTTCGACAGCCATACCACAATAAGAGGTTGCCGAAATACTATCCATGATGGGGGCGGAGCCTACGATAACATAGCCCAATACGGTTTCCAGTACGTAAGGAGCGGTATGCGAGGAGTTGCCCCTGACCTTATTGTTTAACAACAGATGAGGGAAAAGCGATGCTCCAATGAGCATGTCTATGTTTCCAGGAACGGCGTAAGTGTCGTCCGCTAGAGTCAAATTTTTAAATTCAATCATTGCCGAGGTGTCAACCGAAACGGTTGGCAACCGTTCAGTGACCATATCTACTACTAGCGCATTTATATCAAAGTTAACGTTACGATCTATCCGAGAATAAAATTTTAAATTTATTTATCCCTGGGTAGCTTTACTAGTACCTCCGATGCCTTTGACTACAGGACATGAAAGTGACCTATTTATTACTAAGCCTAAGCACTGACAACATTGTCGCGTTATAAAGCTATTTTGGGCTCGGCTGTCCAGCAGTGCACGGACGCTTTATTCGTTTCCACGCGAATCCCTAACCAAAATACGCGCCGTACCCAGTAACACGGTTGAAGGAGGTTGTGCTCCCATATTCGCCAATGAGCACAGAGCGACATCACCAGGTCGACCGCTAGAATCGTTGAATTTAGTAGGGATGAATTCCTTATCCGCTTTACTTGACGCTGCTATGTTGCTATTTTCAAAATGTAATAGCGTGTGATGTTTCCTGGCGCACTTGCTACATACGGAACTCGAATTGCATTTTGCAACTAAATGCTTATCACTTAAGCAGTTCAGACATAGGTTGTTTGTCTTTACTAATTTATAACGTTCGCTTGGTGAATATTTACGAAAAGTCGCACAATTGTATAAATTACCGTGTTTATCCTTACATACGACACAAGCATGCTGAAGTGATGCTGACGTAGCGGTTACGTAAGTTAACGACCCTGCTATTTTAGATGGTTGAGTCTGTCTACGGTCGACGCACCTTTTAATCTCCTGTTTAACGTTCGGAGAGCGCTGCATCACCTTTATTTGATCTCGCACGAACGATGCTAATGAATGAAAGGAAGGCATCTCCGAGCTACGATGCTCCATTTCAAACGCACGCACGGTGTCGGGGTCTAATTTCTTTAGTGCAATATGGAGAAACACCACGTCCATAAGGTCATTAAATTTCAAATTCTTAAGTGCAGCCAACGATGCCACAAATTTATCTAAAAACTGCTCTAAGCCGTTGATGTTCGCGGATGATATAGGTTTAAGATCGAATATCTGGTTCAAATATTCGGAAGCTAACATTCTCTTATCTTCATATTTAGTTTTAAGCGTTTCGAATATTAACAAGTAATTATTTGCTGTAGGTGTAAAACCCGAGCAAATTGACTGTACTCTGCCACTAAGTTTACTGATTAAATAATATAATTTTTCAGCGTCCGATAACGATGGGTTATTGTGTATATTGTTTTGAAAACTACTGAAGAAGAAGGGCCATGTCTTAATATCACCATTAAATACCGGAATATCTATTGGCGGCAACCTAATTGAGTCACGTGGACGTACCTGCATTTCCGGCTTTGCTTCGTTTTGAGATTGTAAGAGTTTCTCCGTTCTTTTCACGCGACAAAACATATCTTCAAATGCTAGAAGCGGTTGGTAGTTCACTATGTATTTCGGGTCGATTTGTAATTCCAAATGATTAATTTGGTCTAATATTCTTTTGTAATCCGTCCGCAAAGTATCTACCGTTTCAATTTCATTCAAAAAATTTTCCCGCGTTGTTTCTACATTGATGTTCTTTATGTGATCACTAATACTTTGTATACGTGAAAAAAGTATGTCCCTCTTGGCATAAAGGGTTTTAATTTTTAATTTTAATTTCATTTCCACTAACTGCCATTTTAAATTATTGTAATAAAGTTATATTAATCACAATTAATCTCACAACGCACAAATAATGAAGGATGGACACTCGTATTACGTAATTAAATCGGACACCTGTTACAGCGAGTCGAGGTGACTCAATATTTTTATCAAAATTGTCGGGTAAGCGTACAAAACGATTGCTATTTCACTGTCTGAATTATTTAAGCGACTGTCTATCACTGTTTCAATTATTTAAGCGACTAATAAGCTTTAAATTTAAAACAATTACAAACACTATTTAAATGAATAATTCTGTTTGCGAGTACCTAACCAAAATTTAAATTTAAACGAATACTATTTAAGACTATTACATAAACTAGAGTGCATTACCTAAATAATTAATTTAATAATTCGACCAGAAAATGGTTGAACGACTACTAAACACCAGTCCAAATCCTGCCGAAGTGACCATAAAATAGTGGAGCGTCGAGCCTAATAATATTCATTATTAGGCTCGACGCTCGATTAAATATAATATTCCTTTTCAAGTCCCTAATAAGGACTAGTTATTTTGCTACAGTACTAGGAGCAGTCGGTCACCCGACCACCCCATACGATGCAGCATCAAGGAGACCTTCAACAATAATGCTTTTGTGTCATAGACCTTACTTTCATAAGTCATTAATATATAGGGTTCGAACCCACGACCCTACTATTGTAATGCATATTAATCATAGAGACCTTCTATAGAATTGCTTTTGTATCATAGACCTTACTTTCATAAGTCATTAATATATAGGGTTCGAACCCACGACCCTACTATTGTAATGCATATTCATCATAGAGACCTTCTATAGTATTGTTTTTGTATCATTGAGTTTATAAGGACTAGTCATTGTGCTACAGTACTTCAGGCAGTCGGGCTCCCGATCACCCCATATATATGTACAACTGCAGGTATGTATCTCCGACAGCTCCTCCATACAAGACATCTATACATGAACACCTTCCATAACTTAGGAAAATTTTCTTTTATACGTGAACTCCTTCCATAACTTAGGAAATTTCTTTTATACATGAACTCCTTCCAAGACTTAGACAATTTTTAACAAATTTTCTAATTATCTTATAAATGTTATTTATCTTTATTTTTATAATATTTTCGACTTGTATCTTCCTATTATTTATCTTATTTTAAATATTTTTTCAAGTTTTTAATAAATTTATTTATTATGGAAGACAATATTTTGCCTTTAATTTACTATGTTATTGGTCTAATGTCTGAAATGTATTTATATTAACTTTATGGTTATTAATGTAATTTTATTGTTTAATATATGGGTAAGGCCGTCGTTTTTGCCACTTTTTGATGAAAAAATATTCTCATATTTTCATTGCTTATAGAAAACAACATAGTGGGTAAATTGTAATGGAGGTATTTTAATTAGGTTATACATCTCTTAAACTCTTACAACATATTCTTAATATTAATATAAGTTGTACATTAAAAAAAATACAACGAGTTAAATTCGTCCAGACTCCCAAATTTAACGAAAAACATGCTGTCTTTTTAGCATTTAAACTATAAAACTTATATTTTTGTAATGAAAGTTTAATTAATTTGTGACTATCTGAAATTTCTTAATAGTAAGCTAATACATCGTGCTTTTCATGTCTTTAATAACGCGTTTTTTTTATAGATTTATTACTATTTAAACTTATGTTCCATATTTTTGCTTCTACGTTACTACTTTGTATGTTACCAAAATTTTCCCTTACAAAGCATTAAAAACAGTTTGATAGTGTTTTGTAATTGCACTGGCAACACTAAGTATTCAGGCAGCACAATTTTTTTTAAAAAAGACGCCATCTTGTCGTGTCGGAAGTCTGTCAAAGGTGCACGCGTGTGTTTCGGCAGTGAATTTTAATTGTGAATTTTGGCGATTTCAAAGGTAAATATCAGTTTTTATTGTTCACATATTATATATTATTATGCACGAGTAACTAATAAGTGCGTGGTAATGTGTCTATGTTTAAAATTCACCTTGATGTCGAGTTATGTCTATTTATAACCTTGAAAAATCGCACTTTAACGTTACTTCTATGTAGCTTTGATGTCACTGGTAACGTTGATTGTATGTTTCGTAACGTTTTACTGTTGTAAAGGTTTGTGCATATGTAATTTATTAAATATACTTTTTTGTTAAAAATATCTACCTTTTTTTTAAGTATTGATCATGTAGAGTAATGAAAAATCCACTCAGTAATTTTTTTATTTGATATACAGAGGGCATTTTTTTTATTTGGTTTCCAAGCAGTTACTAATTACCTACTTATACTTTTAACTTATTTATTGGTATAGATTGTTTTACGAAATTCAAAAAACACATAAGACAAGAGTAGTTTATTTGCCTTAATTAATTTGTGTCATTTAAGTAGTTTGGACATTCGTGGAAACTGAAAAAGAAAGGTTTTTAAACCATATTTTTGTGCCACTAAGTGGAAAAATAAAATAAACTCAAAAAAAGTAAAAAACGACTTCAAAAAAATAAAGTTTAATCTTTTGTGAAAAACAATTAAGGATATCGATGCCAATTGTTTCTAAAAATTAAACCAAATCTAACTGTTTACCACGTATTTTTTTTAAAAGTTTTTTTTTACTTTTTTTAATGCTTACTTCGATATTCGCGCGAACGGTCTTTTCTTTCTAGCAAAGGATGTCGATTAGCGTTAAAGAGAGATACACATACGTACAAAAAAATGTGTTGCGAGGCGGGTAGTGTGACCCTTAGTCAATGTATTAAACATGACTGGTTGAATGAATTAGAGCCCTTAAACCATACTATCCCTTTAATTTTCTGATTAACAATAAAACAATATAAACATTGTCACAGATGCCGCCGAGGACTTCAGCTGAAAAGCAGAAAAAATATCGCGATAAGTTGAAAAAAGAAAACCCTCAAAAGTATGAAGAAATACAAAAGAAGGCCAAAGAAAGATCTGCACGTTACTATGAGAAAAAAAGAGTACCTATACTGAAGAGCACAAACAAGAATTACGGAATAAATGGAAGGTAGATCGGAAAAAAGCAAAAGATGCAAAAATGGCATCACAAAATGAACCGGGTACGTCACATACTTCAAATTCCAAGCAAGATAATAACCAATTAACTTGCCGTAATATGCAACGCCGAATTGAATACAGACTGAAACAAGAAACTGCACAACTGAGATTACAGTTAAATACATTGACTAAAGATTTCAAAAGTGTTCAGAAAAAAACGAATAGACAACAAAAGAACATAGACAAGATGCAGGCAGATTACGAAAATTTATACTAGATTAATCACGACAGATGAAACAAAGGACACATATACGCGAGAATTAGAAGAGAAAACACCGATGAAAGAAGTAACAGAGTTCATAAATATAAAAACATACCTAACATTGAAACTCCCAAAAAAGAAGAAGTTAATAAGAAACTACTAGAACACGATGTACTAACGACGTCACTAAAATTACAATTCCAAACTGCTAACAATACCCAAAAGAATGTTTTGAGAAAAGTTTTGGATAACAACATTGTGAAAAAATATAAACTGAAAACAAGATTTTTTTTTTTTTTCTTTTTTTTTTTTTCCTAACACCTTTTTGAGCCCTGGGGATCGGCAACTGTGAATGTCACTCACCTGTAGCTCATAGCTTTTTGCCCACTATTTACGCAAACGAAAAACACACATCGAATAAACAAGAAAAATGTGAAAAGAAAAAGGTAGTTAAAAATTCAAAGAATAGCAATAAAACTAGGCGAAGGCGTTTCAGTTCATCAACCCAAGAAGATGAATATGATGATAGTATTGAGTATGCGGAAAGCGACGCCTCGGCGTTTTTTTTTCTGATGAGTCAATAAGTCCAGATTTTAACGACGATGAAAACAATCTAATCACAAAACTTGACGAAAAAACAGGTGTTCTGAGGCCAAAAATTAATCCAAACAAGAAAGTCACTCTGCTATCCACAATAATTTTAAAGAAACCTAATGCTGAAAATAATCCTAAACATGAAAGGAAAAGAAAAATAATTTGTGAAAATGAAGATTTAATCCATAAAAGATTTTGCGAAACTACGCAACATGTTACTAGGAAAGATGATGTGACAATTTTGTCAAAAATAAGAAAAAACCCGGAAAATACTGCAAGTTATGATGTATGAGAGAGTTATTTATTTGGAAAAGAAGACCCGATAAAGGAAATAAGAAGTAACAAAATTGAGACTGATAAAAGAAAAATCGACCAGAACAGGGAAAACAAAAATGATACCAAAGAAGAGATAAAAAGAATTTGAAAGAAAAGTTTCTAATAGAAGAGAAGCACAAAATTGAGATTGAATGTACTAAGAAAGATGAAAGCAAGGAAATCCTAATTGTTATCGCAGAAGAAGAGAGAAAAGAAGCTGATGAAAACAAAGAAAATTATACAATTGAGACTGAATATAAAAAACAACTTGAAAGCATGAGAGGACAAAATAATAATGGTGAAGTTTTACAAGACGCAGATAAATATAAGCAAATGGAGAAAACAGATTTAGATAAAATAAACAAATCTGAGAATTTAAAAGAAGATGAAAGTGACAAGGAATCGAATACAAAGGAAGAAGGAAAAAAAGCAATTGAGAGTGAAGAAAATACGCAGAACTTTATTTTAAATATAAATGATAGCATAATAGTTCGATATTTCCAAAGGAAAACGTGGAAATATTATATAGGATTTGTTGAGAATATAGAATTTAAGAACGGAGAAAATTATTATAAAGTAAAATTTTTGAAAACTGTGAAGGATTTATCTGATTCCTTGAAGTTTGTAGTCCAAAGAAAATCAGATATTGATATAGTGACCAATATTTCTATCGTCAATAGAAAACCTCTAAAGAATATTACCTGAGTAGAGAGAGTAGAATATTGATTTGGTTTATTTTAATTGTTGAATATTTATTTATAAGGTGTAAGAAAGGTTTTGTATTGCAATGACCTCTTATGTACAGACGCCAGCACATTAGCCCACTCCAATCTGTCAAATTTCTTTAATAGATTTTCAACTTTACCACAAAAGTAGACGGTTCATGTTCGATTGAGAAAATTTGACAGATTGGGGTAGGTTGATGTTCTCGCGTCTGTACCTAGGTTAAAGAGAATTATGTAGTTTTTGTTTTTACTTATTTATGTTATTTCATTTGGCTACGAGATTTTTTTTTAATTTTAAATTTGTTTTAATTACCTACTCGTATTTCTAAAGTATTTTTTTAACTACAGATTATAATAAACATTTCGTGTCAATTTTATAAGAAAATAAATATCAATATTAGTTAGTTTCCTAGAAATGTACCTACTATTTTATTTAAGAAGATAACCCGTGTGATAATTGTAAAAACTTTTAGAGAAAGATTATATTGTTCTAATTTTGTGATTTCACGAAACACTATTGATCTCATTGTGTAGCTTATTTTATAGGTTTAAATCATATTATAATGAATGTTATTTCGTTTTTTTTTTGTTTTCGTTAGAAGAGTTTTTGTGAAACTCTATCCATGACATTAAATATTTTTGTTACTTCACTTATATCGTAGTATTATTTTCCTGATATTTGGTAAACTTGGTCAGATTTCATGGTTGTGTAATAACTCTAAGCTGTTGATAGTTTTAAACATTTTTCAACTTATTTTTTTTTCTATCACTGAACTTCTCACAGTTGGCGAATTGTACAGTTAGCTTATGCGTCGAAACCTCCTCCTTTTTGAAGTCGGCTAAAAATAGCGCGTTATGCAATCGGCCTTACAAACATTACACGTTACTTTCGCGTTACTTCTATGTTACCGTAACATAAAAGTGTCTATGTTACTCTATGTTACTAAGTGGCAAAATCTACGGCCTTACCCATATATCTTTTAAGACTATTTTTGACGCCCCTCTATATTGAATTTAATTATTAATAATAATATTGGGCCGTCACAATAAGAATAGGACTATAATCGCAAAGAAAACTAGCGTAAAATAAGATTATACTATTGTTGCTTTGCGTATTTTCTCATCGATTTATTTTCCAAAGTATCCGCTTATCATCAGGTGAACTGTGAGCTCGTTTATCACCCTTTTCATTTATTCATTTTAGTCCTTGAAAGTCCGCTGCTCAACATACTTGTAGGCCTCCCTTATATTGGCTTATAATGGCGATATTAGCTTCTCTATAAATTATTTGAAAAAATATATGTTTTAGGCAATGCTTTTTGCCTTCTTTAATGTAAAATTATGTTACTAAATTTAATTCAAGTATTCAAAATTATATTTTTCCTAATTACTAAAACTAAGAAAAATATTTTTATTCCATTCCTTTTTATACAGATATAAAGTTATTTAAATCGCAATCGTCCACTTTTAATTTAAAATTAAAAAGCGATTTTTCATCTCAATAGAACATTGAGGCAATAAATATTTTTTACTGTTATATTTGAACAGTGAGAGTCAACCGCAGTCGAATTAAATTCTCACATTTCGCTGAAATATAGCTTTATCAAAAAAAAACTGATCAACTTTTGTGATTTTTTTAACTTCCCTCTATGAAAATCAATGATATTCAAAAAATTGGAAAGTTACTGGTTTCATCCTGGTTTTCGAAAATCGAGTTCTCACCAGGTCTTTACGTTTTGGGCCCTTGGAAGCTATTATAACTATTCCTACGAGGATACCTTTTCGTACGTCTTTATTTAACTTCATTTAAATTAAATCTGAGTTTTTCGAAGTACAATTATTAACATAGGATCCTCTTTAGGTTAAAGAGCCTGATTCTACAGTTTTAGAAATAATTACCGTATGTGTGTGTGCGTGTTCAGATCATTACCTCCACACTAGGACTTTCTTCTGTGTCGTGGAAATAGTTAACATACATAAATTGCACAATAATAAACATTAAGAACTAAATCAATTATTTGCAGGCCATACAATTATTTATTCCGTGGGAATTCAAACGCGCGCAGCAAATCGCGCCGCTTATATTTCAAGTGATGCTGAATTCCATGTGCAGAAACTGAACCAAAACCACGTTCAACTTGTAAGATTATACACCTGCTCACACACTGATTATATTTTAAATCGTTAGCAACCAACAAAATAGTCCGGCGGTGAACTTTCACGGCCTGTTAAAGAAAGAAAGAAGAAAGAGATAAGAGGGTGAGTAGTGACGAGAGCGTTTTTTGTTAGTCTAAGGTATAATACAAGTAGTTAAAAATTCTGTTAATGATTAAGTTCATATTATTTGTACGAAATATACTGTTAATTTACATTTAAAAAAACTTCCGCTGACTTTTAGCCTTGTCTTTCAAAGTCGGAGGTATGAGTGAATAGCATATGTCTAAAACAAAGAATGGCAAATAAGCACAAAGTTCACCTCATAGTGACTGGATACTGTATCCAATGGACACCTACTTTTCTGTACGATTATGAATCAAAATTCAGATGCATAGTTACTTCTGAAGAATAAGCTGGAGTGCGTTATTAGCAGTGAAAAGGTTTTATATTAAAAACTGTCTCAGATAGCCTTGCTGTCAACGGGTTTATTGGTTGAATATTACATTTTTAATCTGGAAAATAATTTAATTTTTCAATTTTTTAAAAATTGCATGTTACAAAATGTAAAGTTGCTATAATATATTCACTGAACCTTTACGAGACAAACAGAGTGTAATTTAACTTAATTCTTTATTAATTAATATTTAAGACAGAGTTTAAATATTAATTTATATAGATTTAAATTAAATTACAATATTTATAGTACACGATCTATAGATTATTATTAATTTATTTATAAAATGTGAAACAAAATAATACGCAAACATTTATTTTAAAATTAAATTTCAAGCAATATTATACGTCAATTATTGGTCATTTGTCATTTATGTTATGTAAATAAGGTTTAAAATTGTTGATGAAAATATTAACAATGTCAAATAATTAAATAGAAATAAGGAACTACTTCAAAATAATTAAAGATAATTTATATTATATTACTAAAATATTCATTCAAATTATAATAGGTTTTTACAATAATCATTTTCTTAAGTACTTAATATTTAAAATTTACGGCACTGGAGGACTTTTATAACATTAGGTAAATGGTTGTTAAGCCCTATAGCCATTTATTAGGGACCATTTTTAAATAATGTGAGATGTGTAGCAGGGGTAAAGTTGTTCAAAACGACTATAAATCAAAAGCACGCTACAGACTGTAGACTATAAATTTCTAGCATGCTATTAAATATGCTATATTATAGCGCGCTATTTATGAGAAGGCGTGTAGGAGGCCCGCAAGCGCGTTAAGTTTTGCGGTACGCTATATCTCGTACTACGTTACATTACACATCGTTCATTGTGTAACGCTTCCCCCCCTCTCATAATAATAAATATATTAGATATAATTAATTTACCCCTTTTCGATAAAAATTATATATATGTGACCAAGATAATTAAGATATGTTTTGATCTTTCTAAATGATCTTTCTAAAAAGGTTTATTAATTGGCCGTTTTTAATATTTTGGCGTGATCGTCGTAGTTAGGACCCTTATTTACGTTGTGTTTGTTTAGTAACTTAGTTCTTTTAGGTGTCTTTTGGAAGAATGAATATTCACTAGAGCAATTGAAAGCTGTTGGTAGTGCCTTATAAGCTAAGTGAACCCCGTTCACGAAGACAGGGCTCGAAAAAGGTTAAGAACATAAAACGTCTTTATTCCACTTGTATCAGGTTGACATTATTAATTTATTATTATTTATCCCTTCCCGCTTGGAAAAGGCTCACAATATATTTATACAAAAATACCCGATACAAGGGCTTCGCTCTCCTACATTTATTTAAAAAAATGTAGGGGAGGTACACGGCCCCACACACGCCGTGCACGGTGAGTGCCAACCATTTTGATGCACTCCCCCCGAAGGGAAAAGCTAATTCGGGAACTGGACCGTAGTCCACAGCAAAATAACTGGCGAACCAGTAAAAGAGGCTTGGCCCCTTGCTAGTACGTAAGCACAAACATCGACCGAAGTCGCGCATGTCAATGCGTGTAAACGCCAAACAGAATACGAACGAATCCAGCCACAGTGAATGTACGTCACACGGTTTAGGCAAATAGGCACACTGGCCGTAAACCCTCCGTGAGCGCCACCACCTGCCAGACCGCCGCTCCTGCAGACGTGATGTAAGTGTATGGCATCACCACCAGTTGCATGATCAGCACGGCTACTAGCCGCAGAGCGTGTCATGAGTCTACCGCTCACCTCAAGGGAATGGGGTCCCACGTTGTGCGGCTTTCGGCCGCAGCCTTGAAGAGTCTCCTCAGATCCTCCCGCCAGCTACCACCCGCATGAGGTCGACACATATGTTCCACCAACCAATACAACGGCAGATATAGCCAAAAGGCAGTTATAAGATAAGAGTAATAATTCGCCATCAGAAAGGGTTTGTGTCACTGAAGTTGAGTAAATGCATTTTCGATCATGTTTGTCTCACCCACCAACAAGTTGCCTTCAATCATTCAAAGGTGGGAAAGTTACAGAAATATAATATTACGTTGTTATATAAAACATCGTGGAGGGCAGACAGTCTGCAGCCCCGTAATGAAGGGACCCAACTTGGGCAAAGCTACTTAGGTGTGAGTCAAACCAAGACGCAGAGAGCGCCATTGAGAATAGCGTCCCACCAAACAACCATCGCAGAGACGCAATGCTGCAGAACGCAACAAGCATCAATACGACTATCGTCGGGCTTACACCATTCCAAGGTCCCCCATACACCCCGCAAGCATCACCACCCGTATACCTCCATCGACCAGAACCACAAGAGAGCGTCGAATCAGGCGCAGCACATCCGCATATCCATCACAAGACGCAATACCGCAAGT